TATCCCAATTCTCAAAAAGTCGAAATGAATTTTTTTTTACTAGGGAAAGCACTGTTGTGCAGTGTACTGCAGCGAAACGACTTTTTTTTTCACTGCAGCGAAATGCTGTATTAGTAGAGTTGCGACTCAAAACGAAACAAAAAAAACAACAAAGTTCTATTTATCATCATATACCACTTTATAAAAAAATTCTTATGAAATAGTAATTACTGATGAAAATATAAAAGTCGCTATTTCTTGCCTAAAATTAAATAAATGCAAAGATCATTTCAATTTACATGCAGAACATTTAAAATACGCTAAGTGTGATGCACTAATGCAATTGATAAGAAAATTCTAACACTTCTCAATTAATTATGGATGGACCCCGAAATGTCAACTTCAACTATTATGCCGTTAGTCAAATCATATAAAAAATCACTTACCGACCCGAATAACTACCGAGGTATCAGTATTATTCTAATATTTACAAAACTTTTAGAATACCTTATCCTACTCATCAGTCCTGAGATAAAAAAAACACATCCCCTTCAATTTGATTTTAATAATAAATGTTCAACCCTGTATGTTATAAATGAAACATTTAAGCATTACAACAACAACAATTTGCCTATTTATTTATGTTCGCTAGAAGCTGAAAAAGTTTTGGACATCTGCAACTGGAACATTCTTGTTGATAAACTTTACTTTGATAAAAACTTACTTCTCCAAATAGTTAACACAATATCTTCTTTATACCGCAACAGTAGTGCAACTGTCTCTTACCTAGGTTCCAAATCAGTCTCATTTACTCTTAAGCAAGTAATGAGGACCAGGATCAATTTTGTCTCTCTACTTATATAACATTTACACCAAAAAGTTACTCGAAACTATAAAAAATGATAACGTTGTCAGTTCTGTACATAGAAACTTTACAGGTGTTGTTGCTTATGCAGACACTATCATTCTTCTTAGCTCTATCTGGTCTTGAAAGGCTGATTATAACGTGTAATATTTACAACAACTTAAACGGCATAAAGCGCAATGCTGTCAAAATGGAAGTGTTGCTTTGCGGCAAAAGACAATTAACTAATTGCAAGATAACTCTAGACGACCATCAAATTATAGCAAACGAAAAACTTAATCATCTTGGCTTTATTTGGGATATAGAAAAATTTATTTTTGCCTCACTAAATAGAACAAATATTAACAATAGGGTATCAAATTTTCAAACAACAATGCAAACACTGATGCAATCTGGTATCCGGTTTGTACATCCATCTTCAATTATTCAATTATATACATCTTTAGCAGTTCCGACCCTAAAGCATGGTATAGATCTCTTTGAAAATAGAACGTCAACAATGAAAAGGCCTAATAAACTTGGAAGAAATGCAGTTAAATCATTTTTTAATGTCTCCAAGTTTAGCAAAAACTATATAAACTCTCTATTTAAAGTTCGGGAGATATCGACTTTCATACACCAAAATAAAATTGACCTATTTATCCGTCTATTAAATAATAAAGTAACTTTTAAAATCATCAATTCTCAGCTAAACTATTGTTCTGTAAAATATTCATTTTTAGATGAAATAAAAGAATTATGTAAAACTCATAAAGTAAAATATGAAAAACCTAATTCAGGATAAGAAGAAAGTGAAAACTAATATTTCAGAAAATATAATTCTTGAAGATACTTATCAAATTCTAGTACAGGCAATTCAATGTTGCAATGTAAAGCAACAACGAACAATTTTCAAAATTTACTCTTGAAGAAAACATTCCCAAGTGATTTATTTTATTCTCTCTTTATATAGCTTAAACTATTTTTATGTATTTTTACCTTGTAAACATATTTACAGAGGGTGTTTAATAAAATAATAAATAAATATAAGCACGTAAAAAATATGCTTTTTATTTTCATTTTTTTGTTTTTTTTTTAGTATTCTTTAAATTTAATATGTTAAAGCTTGAAACAGTTCCATCTCAAATAAACTCTGAAATATACATGCTTTTTTGTTTAATAAAAAGTGTGTTACCCTATATATTAGCAATAACCATTTACACATCAATGTTAAAAAAAAAACACACAACGAAATATAAGAAAAACTGTGTTTTGTAAAGTTGCTCTTTTATGATATTACTGTCTTAAATATTAAACATAGTTAAGGTATGTCCATTAGTTATTTAAAAAAAAGGAGGAAGAAGTCGAAATATATTTGACAACTGTTGGCAAAGAGGAAAGAGGAAAATCAAGAAAAGTTGATGCCAATAACGTTACTTTATGAAATAAATTAAATTATTAAAAAAAGGAATGTTTTCTTTCATTTAATTTTCTTAACGAGGTTATGCAGGGGGAAGCGGGAGGGGAAGAAGAGTAGTCAAATGTTGACGTAATTTAATAGGAAAGGGAGGAAGCGAGCTCTGAAATTTTGACAAACTATTGACAAGGGGAGGGGGTAGTGTATAAATTGCCTAAAAACTGTTGAAATAATCAATGGAGAGCCGCAAGGTAGATTTTGGGGATTTAATTTTGTTAGTCTGTAATAGGTATTTTCGACCTTGTTGTATTCTTATTCATATTACTATGTTGTTTATATGCTCCTACACTGTCCAATAATGCTAGTTAAATTCATCAACAAGTACGGCAGTTAAAAATCATTTAGCAGCCAATCTTTAATACAAAATTAAAAGCAAAATATATTTTGATTTTAAACACAGGTTCAAGATTAGACAAAAGCTAGCTGTGCAGGGGTCATTGTACAGCCATTGTACAGGGGTCTCCATTATGCAGGGGTCATTTTAAAGCCATTGTAAATTAGTAGTCCCAAAAACTAAAGATAAAAAATTGACTTGGGCGCAGCATACTAAATTGAAAAATGTAAATTGAAGTAAATATTTTGGTATTGCAGGCAATACCAAAATATTTACTTCAATTTACACTATAAATAATTTGGCATGCCAACTACATTAGCTGTCAAGCACAACAACGAGACATTCACCCGCACTTAGAACTTGCAGTACAAGTCACCATTTCCAGTTCAAGACATAGCCAAACTCGAACAAGTTCAAAACCGAGCCAAAAAACATACTGCTATCTTCAAACACTTATATTCAGAGAATATAAAGAGTTAACTTCCCTAAGCTAGCCGAACATATTAAGAAAAAGAAGATCTTGTTGAGCAATACTAAATCATCAGCAAAATCGACAAAGTTAACTTCTCAGCTTCAACCAAACACCGAGTCTTTCAAATACAGTCTCCGACCGCGGGTACACAAAAAAGAACTGAAGGCACGACTTGTAAAAAACTGTGCAGAAAGAAACAATTTCTCCACTAACCGTGTTGTCAAACCATGGAATGCATCTACCTAAAATGCGGTGAACTCAAAGAACCAATTGTTTCAAACTATAGACCTATTTCAAAAAAAAATAAAAAAAAATGTTTCAAACTATAGACCTATCTCTGTAATACCTTGTTTCTCTAAATTGCTAGAACGCATTATGTACAACAGGATTTATAATCATTTAGTTTCAAATAATATTCTGTACTACAAACAATTTGGGTTTAAAAAAAATCATTCAACGGATCACGCGGTTATTGAGCTTGTAAACCATATATCAGATGCTTTTGATAAAGATTATTTTACCTTAGAAGTTTTCATTGATTTATGCAAAGCATTTGACACTGTCAATCATGAAATCTTTATAAAAAAATTTGAACTTTATGGAGTAAACAACTTAAAATTACTTTGGTTTAAAAACAACTTGACTCACAGAAAACAATGCATAACCTATGAAACAAATGAAACCAAAAAAAAACTTATAAGTTGCGGGGTTCCTCAAGGATCTATCTTAAGACTATTATTGTTTCTAGTGTATATAAATGACTAATTTTTAGCATCTAAAAAATTAAATCTTATATTGTTTGCTGACGATTCCAATTTTTTTTATTCACTCAGAGACATAAAAATTCTTTTTAAAATTTTTAATGAAGAATTATCTAAAGTAAATGAATGGTTTATAAGTAACCGCCTTTCACTAAATGTAGATAAAACTAAATTCATCCTGTTCCACAAACCAAATAAAGTTGATAATATTCCACTTAAACTGCCAAACCTTTTATTCAATAAAACAGATGTAAAAAGGGAATCTACTGTTAACTCTTTAGGCGTAATTCTTGATGAAAACTTGTCATGGAAGTTTCACATACAATCTATTGAAAGTAAAATATCTTATAATATTTCCGTACTTTATAAAACAAAACCATTTTTAAACGCAAAAGCTATAATGAAAATTTGTTTTTCATTTGTTCACAGAATCTTTCTTACTGAAACATAGCATGGGGAAGTACGAATTACGGAAAACTCAAAAAACTTTATAGTAAACAAAAGCATGATTGTATTTTCAGAGGATAACTTTATTGTTCCGAGAATAAATATAAAAATAAGTTCTTATCGAATTCAATATCGAGGACCTTTTTTTATCGAAAAATTTTATTAAAAACTTTAATAAAGAACACTACTCTTTAAAAAAATTTAAAACAGTTTCTAAAAGAATCTTACTTAAATTAGATTTTAATTCAATAGACTTTAAAAATTTTTTTAAAAGGTAATTTTAAATTAGAAAAAACGCTTCCATTAGCACTCAATATATTTTGTTATATGTATATTATATGTTATATGTTGTATTAGTATAAAAAACTTTCTTTTCTATTTTTAAAGTTTTAATATAAATGTCATTTTATTATTTGACAAAAGTTATGTACTCTTTAACGTTTTTTTGTATGTTTTATTTATATTTGTTTATAAACAAGGGCAACTTGTAAATGGGGTTCGGTGATAAGACAGTTATTGTCTTCTTCTTGCTCCGGTCAATTTTTATAAATGTAATATGTCTTTATTGAAAATATATGAACCGGCAAAAAAAACAAAAAAAAACTTGAACAACTTTAAATATGAACTTTTTTTGCTTTTGACGTCTAAACTTTATCTGAAATCTAAAAACTATATTTTCATTACAGAGTGGCCTGGTGTACCGCTGTCTGCTAATAACTTGTAAATTTCATTGATCAACGAGTAAACCAAACAAACAAACAATATTGACGACTTGATTGTTGTAGACACTATAATCAAGAAAAAATTTTATCCGAACAAAAAAATTTATAAAAGGTAAACTTTGCTAGTTTATTTCAAAAAGAAATTCTTGAAATTTTGATTTAAAATATTTTTTTTTGAATTCACAGCTCAGGACCCTCGTGGGGATGTGGCCTTCCATATCAACATGGCAGAAGGACCCCACCGGAATAAATCCGGACCATAATTTAGATCTCGAAAATTAAATATATGATGCAGAATAATCTATAACTTAAAGTCATAAACAAGACATTTATTCTGGGCAACTTTTTTTATGTAAATATACTTTTTTTAAAAAAGTTTTTGTTTGAAAAAAAAATATTTCAAACGAATTTTTTTTTTTCGCTTATATTGAGCCCAGGCTGAAAAAGTTTAGTCGAAAAAGTTTTCACAAGGGATTCACTTTAACTTACTTTGATGCAAAAACGCGAATTACTTTAGGCGTAAATTACTTTACATAACTCATATTTAGTATATAATTTACTTACATTTAAAAGTAATTCGTCTTTTTTTTACATAAATTATATAACGTCTGAAACTTAATTACTTAAGTTAAGTTTTTTAAATGAGTAACTGTAACTTGAAAAATTAATTTACTTTTGAAAGTAAATATAATTTGCATTTTTACTTTTACTTGAAAATGTAACCTAGTTTTATTGGTAAGTCGTAAAGTAATTTACTTTAAAAGTACTTTAAATAAATTTAAAAAATCGTGTAAAGTAATTTACTTTAAAAAGTAATTTTGGTTATAATTATGTAAAAAATTTGCAACAATTTTTTTGTAAAAAAAATTATTCATTAAGTAAACTTACGTAAATATAATATTTAAAAAACATAACACTTACTTTACAAAGTAAAATAAAACTACATTATAACAACTACGTGAAAAAGTAACTAATTAGCAAAACCAGCTTACATAAAAGTAATTTGAAAAAATTTTTTATTAACAATTGCAAATGAAAGTAAATCCCCTAAAGGTTTTATTAGCACTCACGCGGCAGGCATGAGTGCTAATAGGGGCTGCTAAATAATCATTGAGTTTTATTTCTTTTTTTTTGTTGAGCAGAAATAGGTTAGTGTCCATAAGTAGTAGGTAAATGGGGGTTCGACACCACTTGACAATACAAACCTTGTCGAAATTGACTTTGGCGCCGCCTGGCATTGGCTACCCGACGGCTTTACTTTTAACCCTAGTTGAGCTCACATTGCAACTTGGCAATTTTTTTTTAAAACATCTTAGCAATTCCAACCTCCGGAATTTTTTTGGCAACCTGAAAAATATCATCAAGTTGTTGCCCGCCAAAGGCTGCATCTTGACAATTTCACTTCTGCGGCACCCAGCTTTTACGCTGCCTAATCTGATACCTTTTTAGATAAATTTCCTCCTCCATGGTTTAGTACTATCAAGTGGCCATTCGATGAAGAGGTTTTTTACATCAGGGTTCTTCACTTTTGTTATTTTAAAAAATTATAAAACCACAATTAAAAACAAAGTTATATTTATGAGGTACTCCGTTAGTTCAAATTTACGGAACATTTCAATCACTTTAATCACTCGGTCTTAATCACTCCACATCAATCTTTTATCATTATTATTACTTGTTTTCATTTTTTAATTTGCAAGTATCGATAAAAAATAGCCATTGTAAAAACATTTGCTGTTCCATTACAACCAGTAAATTTAAAAGTAAGTTAGTCAATTACTTCAAAAGGCTGTAAAGAAAATCAATTCGATTTTGTAGGCTCATAATAATAAAGACCTGACGTTGAAGATACAGTAACTATAGTATCTATTACTCTTTGAGGAACTCCTTTAAATATTGCCGCGTTTGAAGATATCTTATCACATTCTATTATATATAAAGCACCAGGTGAAGTACCACCACCTGTATAGTATATAATTTTTCGTAAAACTATTTTAGTGTGTGCTGTTGTTGTTATCGGCACAGTTAAAGTAATCAATATAGTACCAATTATCTTAACTTGGTGAGCTATGTGAGTTTGCTTTGTTTTAGTTTATAATCAGTAACATTTTATGTTTAATATATAATATATCGTATGCTGTAATATAAAACAACTAAAATACATCCAAATATAACCACAGCAGTTAAGTCCTCTTTATGGTTGTTTATATCAACGTATTCAGTATTATTTTTACTTGGTTTTATTGTTTCCGTTATTTTTGTTGTTTCTGTTGGTTTTTTTTCTTCTATTGACTCTGTTGGTTTTGTTGTTTCTGTAGGCTCTGTTGGTTTTGTTGTTTCTTATTTACTTTATTTAAGGTTGTCGTAAGCTCAAATGCTGATTCTGAAGCTTGTAAAAGTTTATTATCCCTAGTCGTTGATGATGTCGTTTTTAATGCAAGATCGCTTGGAATCAAGTAAAACAAAGGAACTAATGAAAAGTCCAAGTAGCTGTTTGCGTTTTCAAGAACTCACTGATGTCTTGCAATGTCTTCCGTTAAATCTGCAGGACGTGTAATGTATCTTTCTAATCTAGCAACAAACTCGTGTTAAGCGTCAAGAGCAGAAGCTGATAAGCCGATAACTAAAGACCGAGTAGCCAACTGTTAAAAAAAAGCATTGTAACAGCATAATACCTTATTGACTCTTAAATGCTTACAAATCCTGCGTTTGTAAGATCATTAGTAATTTCAGGAACTTGACCCATTGCAAGATTTATTTACATGTAAATCAAGTGTTTTTGAATCTTGAACAATTTGGCGCGCATCAAATCTCTAACCCTATTTCTTTAGGAATATTAAATTTTATTTTTTATCGCTTCAAACACGATGTTTTCAACTGAAACATTCCGCGGATTAAAACCGTTTGTGCTATGAATCGGCATCGTAAAGCGCCATAATATTCGTTTATCAGTGTAACAAATGTGAAATTTATAAAGAGCTCTCATAAAGCTGTCAGTAGAGTAAAGCATAAGCATGCTTACACATCCAGCAGAAGACATGCTAGTTGCAAAACTAAGTGCGTTAACGTATGTGTTAGGTTTATCTTCATTTACTGGGTTTATAACCTCTAATATTACTGGGTTCATAACCTCTAATAATAGACTCTGCACTTTGAATCCAATAATATCTTTGAAAAACATTTGTGTAATTTGGATCAAGTATAAAGTTTTTATTTATAAAATCTACTGGGTTTTCCAAATCAGAAACTGAAAAAGGACATTCTGAGATCCCCTTTGTCAGTTTTGGGTCAGGCGAGCTTACATCGTCAATACTTAAAATTACGTTAGGTAGTGGTATTTCTTGCTTATAAATGAAATTAGGATCATAAGAGTTTAAGGGGAATAACTGTTTCCCCATTTCAAGATAAGATCTATTGCTGCCTGATGGAGGTTTGTTTGTTAAACCTGGATGTTTGTAATGAATTTAAAACATCTAAAAATACTAAATTTCCAGTATTTTTATTATTTATTGTTTCAACTTGTTTTGCAATATCTCCCGCGTTAGCAATTCTTGGATAAGCCATTATAATATTATTTTTTTTTTCTATATCTATCATTACGCTGTGCATAACGTTATGAGGTATATAAAAACTACAAATGTAATAATTAATGTCCATGATTTATCAGCAAGCCAAATAATAGCTATTGCTGCTTTATCAAATAAATTTAATAATAAAACTTAATTCATGGAATCGATTTTAATCTTTTATCACCAATCCGTCCTAAGGCATTTGTAAGATGTTCAATAACATTTTTCGTTTTTGATTTTTATCATCACCTTTATCTGGACCACCTTTATCTGGACCTCCACCTCTTTTACCTGGACAACCACCACCTTTGTCTCCTTTATCTGAACCTGCTTAAACAGGCTTTTCACCTCCTTTGTCATGGTTTTTACCACCTTCATCTGAGTATATTTTTTTCTTTTTGGTTTTTCTGTAAAAATTTGATAACAAACCATTTATACCCTCTTTGGAAATAGGTAGTAAAAGTAACATAGCAACAGGTTTTGTTCTAAGTAAATATCAAACTTTATCGATAAAAGCATCTTTTAGTTTGAAAAATGGGCTATGAATAAATTGAAACTCACTTTTAGAACTATTTTGCATATTTTGATAGACTTTTTGAAGTTTAAATAATGCTGCTCTTGTATTTTTTAGTAATTGCTTTTGCGTTTTAATTTCTGAAATTCTAGCTTCATTTTTCGCTTTTAAATCTTGATATTTCTTTTTTGCGTCTTTGAATCTTTCATTTGCTTCAAGTAGTTCATTTTGTGACTTGTTTAATCTTATTTCAATCTCTTGCCGCTTCTTTACTTATAGTAGCAGTATTTTTTTTTTATTTTTATAAAATCTTAATTTGTCTTAAATGTAGTTTCCCAATTAAATTTTTCTTTCGTCTAACCGTTAAAAGACACATTAAGCTCAGTTAGTTTTGTAGAATGTTGTTCACCAAGGTTTATCACAGTTTTTTCAAAATTTTTTACTAATGCTTATGATTTTTTGCTTCAACATTAACTAGCTTTTCCTTAAGATTTAATATTTCCTTTGCCTGTTTTTCAATTTTTTCAATACCTGTTTTTTGACTAATAGTCTGCGATTTTTCAGCAGCCTCAGTTCAATCCTTTGGTGTAACTTTTCGAATATCCACATTTCTAAAAAATTATTAAATAATTCTTTTAACGCTTCAATAGCATTCATTACTTTTGCTGTAATAACCGGTTTATTACCTAAAAAGGTTATACCTAAGAGCTTTTAAATCTTATACTGTTAAATTTTGATGTTTGCGTCCATTGTGTACCAATTTGCAATGTCAAATAAATTGTTTTAAGTTTTTTAATCACCATGGCCATCTTTTCCAAATTTATTATCATTTTCTACATCATTATAATTTAATCTAAATCTAGCTCTGCTTAACTTTAAATTGTAAATTAGTGTTGCATACCATCGTCTAACTTTATTGGTAGCTTCAACAGTATTTCCTCTATTTACATTTAGAGGTAGCTTTTTCATTTCTGGAATGTTTTTCTTTTAAAAACATCAAAACACCTAAACTCCTAAAGGTCCTTTATC